AAATATGCAACGACAGTTATCATGGAATCAGCCATTGGTGATTTCATAAGACCTGAAGGGTGGATGCCATGGAATGGCACCTTTGCACTCGATACTTTGTTATATGCTGAGTATAACAACCGTGGTCCAGGTGCTAATACCGCCCAAAGGGTCAAATGGAAGGGTTTCAAGGTCATCACCGATAGGAATAAGGCTCTTCGTTTTACTGCTGGACCATTCCTTCTAGGGAATGAGTGGTTGAAAGACACCGGAGCACCTTTCATCCTTGGATTGAAGTACTAATCCAAGTAGCTATCACTTGACAAAAGGCCACAGACAGGAACAGAATGAGATGTTGGAAATACAATTTTCTTTTGCTCATTTAAAGCCAATCTGTATCTTTTTGTTGTTTCTTTAATCAATAAAGTGAGACTTTTGTTTGAKGTAATCTTGTTGTTTCTAGTTCGTTTCTTTTTTATCTTATCTAGTCTAATAAAGATTACATTGTAGGGCATTCATTTGGTGAATAGGACTCATAACGGGAGATCTAATTAAATCACTCCATTTTTTGTAAACCTAGAAGGTCCCAATAGAGGTTGGAATTTGGCGGTTAACTTTATGACTGCTGGTATGTGGATAATTAATAGTGAAGTCTCAACTAATAGTGTGAGACTCCAAGCTGCGGATGTGCATCTTATGCGCACTGATTTTTATCCTACTTCGTTTTATTCATCATAGGATTTATTAAACACTATTGATGAATAGAATCTCTAAGATGCAATGAATTTTCTACCTTTGGACATGCGTGATCCTTAGGGTTGTAATATCAGGATCAGTCCCTTTCATATATTATATATGGGTGACATCACTATTGGATTGTGATGACATACCTTGTTTGATGGGAGGCTGAAAGTGAGAATGCAGTTTTGAGGATTGCTAAGGGAGTTATTTCCTTAGGACACTAGTTAGGAGCAATGTTTTAAATTTCGACATGATACAACTGATACGGAGCGTGTGGTATCATATATTTTAATACCTGATACAAGATAGGGTGGAAAAACAATGGTATCTTATTTTCCACCTTATTGGACCAGTATTAAACCATATTGGGCCGTATCAAGAGTGTTTTGGGGTGTATCAGGAAATGGACAAAAATACACAATTTGTTTGTGTTATTGGGCCGTATCAAGACATATCCGTAGTATATCAATAAATACACTACAAAAAAGAAATGGACAAAAATGAAAAAGAAAATAAAAGGGGAAAGAAAGCCTTCTTTCACCCCCAAATGACTTTAAAACTCCAAACCTCATTCCTAAAGTGTTAGATACACAAAAAATGTAAGAAACAAGTGTGAAACATTAATGATTTTTTGAAGATTTTTCAAGTATTGAAATAATATGGAGAAGATAATTTAGTTTATTCATAATATCTTGTGATTTCTCTTTTTTCGTTGAATGCTTAAAAATGTTTAAATCTATGCTGATCTATATTTGTTATATTCAAAAAATCACAATTTGTTTGTGTTATGTTATGAGTAGATTTATGGAAATTTTATGTAGAGATTTGGGAAAAAATATAAAATAACGAATTGAAAATGTGAGTTTTCTATCTGCCTATAAAGACTTAATATTTTTTAGATCTGTGGATTATCTATCATATCCATAGAGTGATTGAAATATCTTCTTCAATATTTTTTATTATTTTTATATTTTTATAATTAAAAAATAAATAATATTTAATTATATTTTATGATCTAATCACAACGATTGAATATATTATAGATCTATAGATGATCTATCATATCCTAAGAGCAACTGGAATTTCTTCTTCAATAATTATTTTCTTTAAATATATTGTACAATGTTTATTTATTGTTGATTTTTTTATAATTTTTGAAAATAAAAAACAAATAGTAATTATTTAAATAATAATTCATTATTAACAATATTTTCACTTAGAAATTGTGTCAATGCATGTTTTATGGTTGGATAGGATAGTTGAATTTATAAATTATAGTTATCACATAGGGTTTGTTAATGAAATTATTATTAAATTACGATGTATTTCTCCATAAAACCATAAAAATATATTAATTTAATATAGCTATACCTTATTGAGGCCTTAAATTTAGTGTTACTGATGTATTTTTATAATTTATTGAAGTATTTATAGTGTTTCCATGCATATCTTTGTGTATCTTAATGCATATCCTGATACATCTCTTAAAATTTGCTTTCCGATACACTTATCATTTATGATACTTTGAACTTTGGCAAGGAGTCTTAATTGGACTAAGACTCCTATAGTAGAAACCCAACCAAAGGACTCATTTGTAAGTATCTAGGTAACCTCATAATGAGCATGTAAGGTATACTAGTCAAAACAGAGAAGTTGGAGAGGATCCCTAGTTGTACTATGACATCATTATTATACCCCATGTTACCCTAGATGAATATGGGAAATGTCCTAGTAGTAGTGTAGTCATAGGATAGACTATAAGGCTTATCATATAGTGTGCTGATTGATTAGGGAATCCCTGATACAGGCGGTTATCGTATTCTAGTAGTTGCTTTTGAGGTGCTTCTAAACAAGTTTAAAACGTATACTAATGGTGGTTGGTCAAGACATTGGCATGTGTTTGGTTTTTCTAAACGGAATAAGACATTGTTGTGTATAGAGGCATAAGTGGATCATCTTCGCATGCGAGGGCCTAAGAGATAATTTATTGGGACAAAAGAAAAATTGTTGAGGACTTATTGGACCTGATTGCAATATTTTAAATATGTTTTAATCTTGAACACACAAATTAGCAGAAGAATAAAGATTCCTACCTTAAGGTGGAGAGGAGTTTCGCTCTCATGTTTTGTCTTTAGTCTTAAGTTTTGCAAACCCAAGGGATCATACACCCCTAGTATGCTTGTCTCTCTTTTTTAAGATATAGAAAAACTAGTAGAACTGTAGTAATTCCAAACCCTATAGTAAGAAAAATAAACTCTGGAGAATGGAGATCGAATTGCTAGTTTTGGTGCCCAAAAGATATAAACTAGAATGCTATGAGAGTTGTATAGTATGGAAATAGTGTGATTTCTATCAGAGAATATCATAGGCCAACATAATCATTACAATTTTTCTATCTTTGGAGAATTTCAGATTTCTCTTCCGCCTAAAATATGAAGATGTTTTACATACAGATATTAATTAAAAGAAAATTAATATAGTCGCATTTCCATGGATGTCTTTGGTTAACTATGAAATGGATTCATTCTATTCGTTATATCTTCACTTTCATTGTGTATAAGAGAGAGAAAGAGTAGATCAATGTTTAAAGTTTCTATTTTTCTTTCTTTTCTTTTTTTCATGAAAAATGACTATTTTATTCCCAAAGATAATGTCTTTTCTAGAGTTTGGAGGGAAATAAGAAGAAATTACATAAACTATCAAATTGGTCCATGCACATTATGATGATGAACTTTTTTTTTTCAACTTCAGGTACAACGTATATTCACACATATTGCATGCATGCTAAATATTGGTCTCAACAGGTTATGTTAAATTTTTCTTCCTTTTCATTGGTTATGTTTTGTAAAGTGTCCTTTCATGTTTAATAAGTGCATTTACCATCACGTTCAATGGTGGTTTATATAGGGAGGTATTTTAAGAGAGATTTTAAGAATACTTTTAGGTAAGTAAGAAATGGGCATGTTTTTCACATCTTGTCATTTTAGATAATGATGGTAACAATATGTTTCCAATTATTTTTAAATTTTGATTTATGTTTCAGTGCATAAAAAATTGTTTGTTATCACACTTAATTAATTCTTTTTTTAATAGGATGAACAATTCCATTTTCTGGTTGGTTTTATATTTTGCATTTTATTTCAATCGTCAATAAAGGCAACCCTTCTCTATCACACTTTTTTTTTCTTTAATTTATCTTGATTAATAAAAAATAGTATAGCACAATTTTTCTACATTATTTGTATTCACAATTGTAGTACAAAATGACTATTATTTAATTTACTGTCATGAATTTGACTCATTTATTTTGGATAGTTATATTACTTGCCTACGACCAGGACAGAAGAATGACTTCATTATTGAGATAGATTTAAAATATATTAGTTTTATATTATTAAATGTGTGGGATATAAATCTAAATGAAAGAAATTTTTGTGATAAAAAATAATTTTAATATAGGATTTACTGGGAGAGAATAAGAGTTAATATCTTAAATATAAGATACTAAAATATAAGACTTATTGCGTAGGAAGTTAATGATGTGAAAAGTAGTTGCTCAAATTACATTCTCTACCTTCATAATTAGTTTGGGACCAAATTTATAAATAGGAGTATTTTAGTCAAGAATAGGGTTTCAATCAACTATAATGGGAGTTTACAGGGAATTGAATATGGTGAGATGTAGTTGAAATTACAATTTTGGTCTGCACAATTGTAGAAGAAACTAATTCAAATGAGGGGGTATTTAGGTGAGTAAACATTTCACACTCCCATTCATACATTTAATAGTAACATGGATGTAGATATAGATATAGATTGGGTTGGGAAGATATATGGCAGGTTTACACGTGGCACTTTCTACATCTCTTTTTCAAGAATCAAAAAGTAAAAAATTCAAATAAAGGAGAAAATTAGAATAAGGATTTTGGAGTAAAAATAGGCTAAGTTACATTATATAGCATATCTTGAATGGCAATGTATTAATTGGAATAAAATGCTAGCAATTTATCCCCATGTGGTGTATTGAAATTGGACAACATCATGTAAAACTTTTTATACTAATTACATAACAAGTAGCCTTGTCAAGATTCTACTTTCAATAGAGTCCATATTTAGTGTGAACATAAGTGTGTGAGACTAACTAAGTAATCCATCACGAGTGAAGATGCCAGTGTTCCATAAACATGAGGCTCACACCACATGTGGATCCCATGTTTTGAAATAGTTGTTTGTTCACTAATGACAGGTCATTGATGTAGATAGAAAACAAATTATATGCAGTACTTCAAGTATACAACAATACACACAAGAAATACCAAGTTGAAAACAATAAAACAAGTTGGAATTTTAGGAATTTTAGACCTGAACATGAAGTAAAACTCCTCCTGGAACAGTTTTGTTACAGTAACAATGGAAACAAACTGGCCTCCCATGTGGCAACACAGCAGTAGAGGGATTGGAATGTGCCAAAATGGGTCAACTCCTCAAAACCAAAGCTCCTAATACTTGAAAACCCAAACTGGGGTTGAGCTATATAACTCAAACAAGAGAGAAATAAGCAA